ACAATTATAGAAGTATAAATAAGCAAATATTAACTTGAAAGTAATATTAATGTTATACAATTTCAATTTTAAATTAAATAACATATAATACAACTAATATAGTTATAAAAGTACAAACAAGCAAGTAGTAACCATAAATATAATTAGAAGTTTCAATAGTTTCAATATTATTGCCTACTCATCACTACTATCATTCTCCTCAACATATGTTTCTATGTTTTCTTCTTCTGATGTCTCAAAATCTTCCCATTCCCCTTCTTCATCCTCTTCCCCAATACCCTCCCCAACATCAGCTTCTTCATGTATTTCAATAAACCTCCCATCAGAATATTGCACAGGTTCATAAGCAATGTCATCAATATTTATTTGTTGAGGAATAGGAGGCTCATCATCTCGAAAATATGGTGTCAATCCTTCTTGTTGGTCATCTTTATTCTCAAGAGCCTCAATGATACTCCTAGCTTTAATTTTAAGTGCAGCAATCCATCCCCTTCTTTCATGATTAATAGATGGGTATGGTGTGTAATAAACCTGCTTTGCCTGACTAGCAAGAATGAAAGGCTCATAAGATCTAAGGTATCTTCTAGGATTAATGTCAACTAATCGATGTTGTTGATCCACTTGAACCCCTTGAGTAGGAGGAATCTCGTACCAATCACATTTGAATAAAACAACTGCCTGTCAATGGATCGATCCATAATACTCAATCTGAATTATTTCTTAAAGCACACCATAAAATCATAATCTGATTCAGTACCAATATATCCGACAGCACAGACATCATAATTTATTGTTCACTTATTTTTACCATAGAGAGCAGTGTGAAATCGGAATCCATTAACAATATATCTATTATAGCAAGAAACATAATTTTTTGGATTGCTGGATAAACCTTTGATGTGCTCATGGACATTAATGAACTAATCACTAATTACCTAAAACATATAAATTGCAAAAGAAAATGTTAGATGCATTTGAAGAGAAATAACATATATATGTTAAGTAATTTAATAGTCATATTATTAAATACTCATAGCTTGTTCAAACTAGGGCACAAGGTCTCTCTCTCGTTTTGCTTGAATTTGTTGAGGATTCATATTTTGACATTGTTCTCTCTCAAATAAACTAGAAAATATGATAATAGTTTTTTATTTATTGTTAGTATTTTAATTTCAATAAATTTTAATAGAACAAATTAAAAATTTTAGTGTAGGTTTTTCCCTGACCCATCCTCGTAATACTTTGCAATTCATTAACACATAATACGGAGTAGCTTGCGTTCCTCTACCGTCAAGCAACGTCTTCCAATTTTGGAACCAATACGTTTTCCAACACATTTAAAGATGGATAGGCCACTATTATCACCAAATCCAACAACAATATTCCTAGGCGGATTATCAATTGTACTACGTACTCCATCATCAAAGTAATGAGAGATAAAATTTATGATCTCAAGCATTATGTAACTGTCACAAATGGATGTTTCAGGACGCGCTTTGTTTTTCACCGTCAACTTAAGACAATGCATTCGCCTAATTCCCCAAGAATTATTATATAATTATGTTATGATTAAAATACTAATTTGGTACCTCAACTTCTAAGTTTATATCAAATATACCCTCAAAATTTAAAAAAGTTTCAAAATGATCCTTGAAAGGACCATTTTGAATTCTTTTTTAAGTTCAATGGTAGCTTTGATTTAAAATTGAAAGTTGAAGTACCAAATTGGAGTTATATTTATTTTCATATATTATACGTTAATTATATTTACCTCTCAAATGGATACATCCATCAAAATTGCACCAGTCCTCCTCCACGAGCCTTATGTGGAAGGTGGATTGCAAGATGCTCCATACTGTCAAAGAATGAAGGTGGAAAGATTCGCTTTAGCTTACAAATGATTTCTACTATCCTCTCCTGCCATATTGCCATGTCATTGACCTGAATCATCGGAGCACACAAGGCCCTAAAGAACTCACTAATCTCAACAAGTGGCTCCCAAACTTGTTTCGGTAATAAATCACGAAATGCAATTGGTATAAGGCTTTGCATGAAAATGTGACAATCATGACTTTTCATACCGAATAATCGTGCCCCTTGTGTATTGACACATCGAGATATATTGGAGGCAAATCCATCAGGGAATTTAAGTTCCTTCAGCCATTAACATATTGATTTTCGGCTAAATTTGGTCCCTCAACTTTAGTGAGTTGCACATTTTTGATCCCTTAACAATTTTTTGCACTTTTTTGATCCCTCAACTATACGAAATGCACTCCGTTAGTCCTTCTGTTAATTTGGGCCGTTAACTTTGCCCATGTGGCATTTTTTATATTTTTTTTGATGACGTGGATAGTAAATGTTTTGCCATGTAATCTTCCCGCGAAGTCAAAGGCGCCAAACTCAAATGGGCCCTACATTGACTGCCAAAGCACCAATAAATTACTCCTGTGAACCCTAAATTGCTCTTTCATCTCCACTTCTTCTATCTTAACCCATTTCTTCTTCTTCTTCTCTTTTCTCGGGGGAACTTGAGGAATTTCCCAAATGCAGGGAATTCGTGATGAGAGTTGCTCGAGTTGGGTTGCCTCTACTGCTAGTGGGGGTGAATCCTTACAATATATCTGTGATTGTGGTTTGAATGCTGTGGTACGAACGTCGTTCACTTACCAGAACATGGGAAAAAGGTTTCGTGGGTGCCCTAAGTTGGTGGTATGTTCTATCCTAAAGCTTAATTTCATCTACACTGAATTTTCTTTTTTCATTTAATGATTTAACCTTGTTAGAAACCTTGCAAGTACTTCCATTTTCTTCCTGGTAAAGAGACAATCGAAGGCAAACCAAGGGAGTTGCTTTTAATATTAAAAGACAGGGAACAGAAGCTGAAGAGAGAGAATGAGAAATTGAGTAAGGAAAATACTGATTTGGTGCAAGAAAATGTGAATTTGAAGAATGAGAATGATCTTTTGAAGAACGAAAATGAGACTTTAAAGAACGAAAATGAGACTTTGAAGAATGATAATGGGTATTTGGCAAATCAGTGTGAATTATGGATGAAGAAGATGAAGACAGCTGAGAAGAAATTGAAAAAGTTGGATAAGGATTACC